AGAAGAGAAGAGAAGAGAAGAGAAGAGAAGAGAAGAGAAGAGAAGAGAAGAGAAGAGAAGAGAAGAGAAGAGAAGATGCCCTTTTTCTGGTTGAAGTCAACTCAATAGTTGGAGGATCGTGGGCCAAAAATCCATGCAATAAAAATCTGCTGGATCTTAGCAAGAGAAATGTGCATGGCAGCACCCTCGACTGAAGCAGCACGAGACACAAAGGGCTGCCTCCTTCAACTACTGTAAACATCTCACACCTTTATTGACAATGTTTCTAACTTAGCTACCACTCTGGCCATAACTGGAGAAACACAAAAGCTTTGGGGAGGAACAGCACAGGTGGGACACTCCTAAATTTAGTAACTCATCTATAAAACATATGGGGCACTTTCTGTGGACTCCACTGTCCTACCCCAAAGCCTGGGGGTGGACCCCAGAATAACTCCTTAAAGAGTCTGCTAAATTTCAATTGTAATATGACAGAAGAGGAAAACTGTTAACTATGTAGGGAATAATCACATTAATGGTAATGAATTAAACTGGATTTTTAATCAGGTTAGCTAATTTTAAACAGAACAGTTTTCATTCAGGTCCATTCCAGTTTTCAGACTCTTCCTGAGAAAAGATGCTCTATGGCAGTGTTTTTCCACCTTGGGGACTTTAAGCCAGCCTGCTGGGGAATTCTGGGAGTTGAAGTCCATACAGCTTAAAGTTGCTGAGGTAGAAAAACACTACTCTGTGATTTGTTTTTGTTTTTTTTAACAAATGAAATTTGTTTGAATAGAGGGCCAGAGGCCCTTTCAATCCCTCCTTAATTTTTCCTTTAAGAGCCTATAGCCATGACTGCACTGTTGGAAGGCCCTGCTGTCCCACTAGCCTCTGAGAAAGGACAGGTGAGGGTTGCCGCTGACGAGTCAAAAGCAGGGACACCAAAATACTTTGAAAAAGCTGTGAACGGAGGAGAGGCAAGCAATGCTGCAGCCAGAATTTGGCTTACTTACCGCATGACAAAGTCTGCTTGATCTATCTGCTTGCCACAGCGGCTGTTCTTCAGAATGCCGCCATTGCCCACCACAGAGCACCTCTTCAATGGCAGCTGGAATGGAATCGCCTGGCAAGAGAAAACAGTAGCAGCAATCACACCTGGAATATCTGGAGAGAAGCAATGTGCCTGTGGTTTTAGAAGGGGGGTTATGGGAACCCAGCAGAGCTGGAGAACAGCCTTTGGTGTTCAAGAGACATGCTTTGCATCCACCTTAGAGCTATTAAACTTTGGAATTCATCACCACAAGATGTGATGCCAGCTACCAGCTTGGTTGGTTGGATCAATTCAAAGAGGTCCTGGGGATCAATGGCTATTAGCTTTGATGGTAGTGGGACTGCCTCTGAAAGCCATCTGTTGGGAGAGTAGAGGGCTCTTGTGCAGTTGTTTGACTACTATGAGAACAGACTGCTGAACTAGATGGGACAGGGGCTTGATCCAGAAGGGCTTATGTTCTTATATTTTCTATGGATTTATGACCTCCCCATTTTCTAAAATCATAACCAGATGAGGCTTTGAAGAAAATAAAACTCATGGACTGCCCAGGTTGCCCACTTTAGAGGCAATGGGGAAGGTTACACTTGCAGCTGGATACAAACATTTTACATTACAAATGATCTCCTTTCTGTGTATTGTCAAAGGCTTTCACGGCTGGCATATGATGGCTGGTGTGGGTCTTCCGGGCTGTGTGGCCGTGTTCTTGAAGGTTTGTTCCCTAACGTTTCGCCAGCACCTGTGACCGGCATCTTCAGAGTGCAGGAGCACAGACAGGAGCAGTTCTCTCTGTGCCCAGGGTGATGTGACTTCAAGAACACGGCCACACAGCCCGGAAGACCCACACCAGCCATCGATCTCCTTTCTCTCTCCCAGTAGCAGAAAAACAACTGTACTTTTGACAACAGCAAAATCATCTTATGTAGAGAGCTAAACTATACTTAAGTATCAACACAAGGTCATCTTGCTCACAACACAATGCAGTTGTCCTGAGCTTGCAGCCACTGAGAAGATGAATGGCCAACTGTGGGGGGAGAGTCTTGGCACAAGGGCCAGTCTCTTCTTGTTGTATGGCAGATGTAGGCAACTGGCATTCCTCCACATGTTTCCTAACTAAAGTTCCCAGCGATTCTTATCAGAGGCCCTGCTTGACTGAAGTGTTGGGGACTCCAATTCAGCAAGATGCAGAAGTCACCCATTCTCCACACACGTATGGAGATTTCTGTTGCCTTTATGGATCAATTTTACAAGGTATACTTATGTTTCATGTTTGTTAGCTGTTTTCAGATTATGATTAAGTAATGGGAGAGAACTATTTTAAATGTAAAACCAAAAAATTTTTAGTGGAGAAGCTCACATCCCTTGCAGAAAGCTTAGACATACCAAAAAGAAAATGTTGGGAAATGGAGAAAAATTGCTATGGGCTTATTCTTGAAGTACCACTCCATCCTTAACTCTTTATTTAATAAAACAAAACAAAGGTAAAAAAAGTTAAGAAAACAGTAACAAAAATGGAAAATAAAGCAATACAACCAAAACTATGTAGCTGTATCTATATCCTTCTATCCATGAAGTTTTATACAACCGTTTCAATAAGGATAAGCATATTTCATTGCAATCGTCCATATATAATCTGTCTGTAAGCAACTCATTCATCAGCCTCAAGTACCATCACATCTACAATCCACTCTGTAACTGGGGCCATAAATTTATTTTTCTGATGTTAATGGTTCAGCTCCCTGCTATTTTCTCTAATATTCTATCCTATTTAAATAGAAGAATCGCTACATATTTGATTCTGATAAACCAACCATGTTTTGCTAAGCTCCCTCTGTTCCTTTATGGTAACAAAAGTGATGCTTCTATTGGTGCTGGGACTACAACTCCAGAGTTCCTAGTCAAGTCCTGGATTAGAATTCTGGGAGTTGTAGTCCCACACACAGGGATGGTGTGGGTGGGACTTTGGAAGACTACATTCCTAAATTTAAACAGAAAGACAAAATGCAACCAATCTTCTACCAAGTCAACTTCCAGATCAAGACATGGTGTTGGTGTTGTGTTCATAATCAGCCAACTTTTCTACCAGCTTGGAAAAATCAGTAATGTGTCAAATGAAAAGGGTTTATATGTGCCATTGCATTAGATTTCACGCCAGTAAAATGTCAATTTTTTGCTAAAACTCTGATGGGGAATTCATAATTTTGATCATTTTAACTTGACCTCTGCAAGATTATGTAGTGGCATAAAGTGATCCTTATTTAATATTCCATATTCCCCAGTTTTCAGTTCCATCTCCTCAGCTGGTTGAGTTCCCCCATTACCCTAAGCCACAGGGTGATTTATCTGGATCTGGCTTAACATGATATGTGGCCCAACCACTATGGTTTATAAACCAGGTTTTATGGCTTAGCAAAATGTTGTGACCCTTGAAGAGGTTCTATGGGCCCCCACAGCCTCCCCTTTCCAGCAGTGATGAATCAAGATATTCTGACGCCATACACCTCTGCCTTAATCTCTTCTACCTGCCTAAACTTCTCAGTGGATCTTTTCAGCACTTGCCCAATTCATTTAGATATTGCTGGACCACAGTCCCCTGCAGCTTTGTCTCCGAGCACAGTCTTAGAGTCCAAGCCATGATCTTAGAAATCCTTGTAGTATGCCAGGGTTAGCTAGCATTATCCCCATACTGCCTGTGAGCAGACTATGGTTGGAAAAGTAAGACTATGGCAACAGCTCTCTGAATTTGCAGCTATGGCAAGAGTTGAAGATTCCTTGAGCAATGATCAATCCTGCATCACTTTGGCAATGCCATCTTTTAAATTTCAGTGCTTCAGTTGGTGTACTTCAGGTGCCTTCAGTCAAACAATGCCACCTCTCAGCATCTAGGAAGCATGCCTTCTGTCTTGTACTGTTGCCCTCTGGAGTGATAACCCTTAGAAATCCATGTAGCTCTCATCCTAATGATGTTCTGGAGGACTTTAAAAATATGTTTGTTCTACCAGGCTTTGTGTTGGGTAGCTTGGAGCCCTGTTGGTTCTTTTTTTAAGGGATACTGTTGTCTGGATGCTTTAGATCAATGTTGTCCAAACGTGGCCACTTTAAGATGAGTGGACTTCAACTCACAGAATTCCCCAGCCAGCATGGCTGGCTGGGGAATTCTGGGAGTTGAAGTCCACTCATCTTAAAGTGGCCACGTTTGGACAACACTGCTTTAGATTCTTCCTTTTTCTGTTTTAAATTATAAAAAAGTCATTCTGGAGTCTATCAGCCTCAAAATCTAATATATACATACATACATTGATTATGTGCCATTAAATTGTTGCTGACTCTTAGCAACCACAAAGATAGATTTTCTCCATGAATATACATACATACATAAATAAATTAATTAATTGTGGGAGTTAGTCCCAAAGATCAGCCACACTACGTGAAAAATATAAAGGATATTTATACAACTGTAATCAAGGCTGATCGACATTTGAGATACTTTATTGCCTCAATTGGTAAAAATTAATTTTGGCTGCCCAAAATGTAAATAACTTCTGGCTTCTTCAGCAAGTGGCTTTCTTTACAGTATTATGGTGGTGACTTAGAATATAAATTATTTTTTCCAGCCCAGCAAGTGATCAACATAATGTAATTACATCTATATTGTATTCATTATAATGACACTAGTGATCATACACTATTATCATTAACAGTGTTTTGGGAAGAAAAGATGATTAGGTGACCCTAGGAAGCTGTCTTTCGCCGGCTGTTTGTTTGGCTAAAACAAACCATGATTAGGATTGTGATGAAATGATAGAATGCCGCTTCAGTGTAAATAAATTAATAAGTGTTTCATCTGGAGTCTGGTGAGTACATGGCATACAAATGGATGTAAATAAATAAATAATGACAGGCGAGTAAAGGGCTAACTCGGCATTTTTTAAAATCAGAAAGGCAAGTTAGAAAACAGGGCAGGTGGGCATTCAACGAGGACAACTTGGGCAGAATAAAACAAGGGCAAGGAGAGAAAAAAGGAGATGCTTTGGATTCAAAGATAAACATGTGCCTTGACGCACATGGGAGCCTGTCAATACATTTGTCTTAAACCAAATTGGTCTTTTTCTCAGGATTGCAGGGCAGCTGCTGAGTGAAGCCACGCAAGTCCAGGAAAGGATGCAGCTGCTTTAAAGGGCTGCAGACCGGTGCTAAGTGAGCACCTTCCCCTTCAAGCCCCAAAGCAACTTTCACCTTCAATCTCCAAGTGCTGCACCGTTATAATATGTAAAAAAAAAAAAAGTATAAATGATCTGTATATATAAAAGAAAAGAGAAGCAGAGGAATTTTGTAGATGTACTAAGTCCTAGGAAGAGAGACTGAGGGAACTGGGTATGTATGTTTAGCTTTGAGAAGAGAAGACTGAGGAAAGGTAACATAAAGAATGAAGTGCAAGGTGGTTTCCTGGAAGCTCAGACCCAGGACATGGAATGATGGTCCTCAATATGTGGAGGGCAACTTCCAACTGATTGTTAAGGAAAACTTCCTAATGGTAAAAGCCATTTGACAGTGGGACTGTTTATCAAGGAAGATTATGAATTCCCCATCTCTAGAAGTTCTGAAACAGAGGTTGCACAACCACCTACCAAGGATGCTTTAAATTGGGTTGATTGACCAGGAATTGGACTCAGCGGCCCTGACCAATCCTTTAGAACAGTGTTGTCCAAACTTGGCTGCTTTAAGATGAATAGACTTCAACTCACAGAATTCCCCAGCCAGCCATGCTGGCTGGG